CCCCAAAACCCCAAAACCCCAAAACCCCAAAACCCCAGGAGTTGGAAATTATTATAAAATTATTCAAATAAAATAAATTTAAATCTAATGGCTAGGAACAATATTGTTGATCTTTCATCTCTCCCTCCACTGCCTGCAGACATCGCAGAGGACCTGAAGGATGCTTTTGATGACAAGGAGCAGGGAGGCTGCATCGGGCTGATTCATTTTAAGAACATCTTGCATAATTTCGGATTTCATTCTAAGAGCAAGACTGACATGGACAATGAACTTAATGACAAACATGATATCAAACTCTCTGAAAGAACCAGTTTCACATTCGATGAAGTGAAGAAAGTGATTACGTACAGATTAATGAAGGGAAAAGGAATGGATGAAGAAGCAGAGGAATGATTCAGGCTAATAGATGTAAGAGAAAGAACATATGTCACAGCCCAGGACCTTAAAACTACCCTCTCAGCTAACCTTGATGTCCAAGTGACTGAGGAAGATATTGCAGAATTTATGGAGATTGCAGGTGCGGATAATGGGCAGCTCTACCTCCCTAACTTCAAAAAGCTTTACTTGTAACAATCTTCCAAAAAATAATTGATGTTGTATTTTAGTAAAATTTAGTTTTATGATCTTTGCTTGGCAGCTTCTTTCCTTAGTTTTTCTCTCTTTTCTTCAAGTTCTTTCTCGAGCTTGACCATTCTTTTTTCTCTTCTTTCGACTAAAGATTAGTGTTAGGGCTTACCGTTGTTGTTCTCTTTGGCGATGTCTTGCATTGTGAACTTATGCTCCTTTTTCTTCATCAATCGATCAAATTCCATCTCCCATCCATCAGGAAGTCCCTTATTACTATTGACAGCCTTCCTCATATATTCAGAAGGAGATTCCATTAAATTGACCAAGATGCTCTGTTGGAAAAAGTCCATCAAGAAGATAAATCCGGCGCAAATGAAAACGGTCAAATAAAACAGAGGAGATGTGTGCAACTGCTCGCTTGTTAAATAAGTCTTACTGAAGCTGGTCAGGTTGGATAACCAACTGTAAGTGTAATAGAGCAGAAGACTCAGGAAGACTACTGAAAGCATGCTGAAGACGTTGTGCAGCCTTTGTGTCACCATTAGTCGGATAGTCACACCCAGAATTATGGAGAAGAACATTCCTACACTGTATGACCAGAGATCAGGTGTTTTACCACTTTCTTCGAAGATAGCATTTTGGTAGACAAAGTATGTACCGAAAAAGACTATCACACTGTGGGTTACAGAGATTCAGAGCCATATAGCATAGTTTTTATAGGTGAAAATTGTCTTCCTGTTTCCAATGTAGTACAGCCTAGGGGTGAAGTTACGGATTGTCTCTCTTTTAGACATCCTATCTTCCTCAGGGTCTCTTTGTTCATTCCTACCCCATACTTGCCAATCGATGTCAGTCTCGTAGATAGATCTCATGATGATTGGGATCGAAGTGAAGAATAGATTATAGAATGAGATATACCAATCATCAAAGATTGTTTGAGCTGAGAAATCTGATACAAAAGCAAAATAGATTTGTGGAATAGTAAATATCACATTTTTGTAGAAGAAGTACAAGATTAGCTCAGAGTTTCTGATGTAGTTAAATCTGCCATGGTATAAGACAAGATCCCAGATGAATTTGAACTGATAAATTGCAAAATCAGCAGCTTGGGCTGCGTTTACACCTTCTTTTCCGAAGATTCCTATACCGACATCGGCGACTGAAATCATTGGGACATCATTTGCGCCATCTCCAATTGAGAGGGTAATGTTAGAAGGGTCATCTTTCTTGATCAAAGTTACAATATCAGCCTTTTGAGCTGGACTCGCTCTACTAAGAACTACGGCATTACATGATTTAGCTATTGAAATAAAATGCTTCAAGGACTGAGGGTTAGCAAATAGGTACCCAAGAGCTCCACTATCAAAGACAATGGCTCTTGCTTTTCCGTCTTTCATGAGTTGCTGATTGTCTTCCACTCTTTGCTCTGTGAAGACTTCCTTAGCCTCTTCAGGACCTTGGGCTTGGAAAATAAACATATCTTCAGTCAAAAGTTTACAAGAGAATCCGATATTTTTAGCAGTTTCAAGTTTGTCTCCAGTGAGCATCCATACCTTGATATTGGCTCTTCTAAAATCCTCAAGGGTTTGTGGGACATTTTCCTGGAGTTTATCTTCAACACAGGTTGCACCAAGGAGAACGACACCTTTTTCATATTCTTCTGCAATTTTGGCTACTCTTTCCTTAGCATTGGTTACATCAGCTTCAGCTTCTTTGAGATCTCTCTGGATCTGGTCAAATTCTTGCTGGTCGATAACTCTGCAAGCCATAAGGAGGGTACGAAGACCCTGAGTTGAAGCTGTGGTTAAGAACTCTTCAAGGGTATCCATTACTTTTGGATCCTTCTGCTTTGGGTCTAGGAGAGCTTTGATTTTAGTATCTGCTCCTTTGATGTATAGCTTGTATAATCCATCATCAGGATCTGTGATGAGCACACTCATTCTTGCCCTAGCGCTAGTGAATGGGATCTTTTTATGAATGGTATACTCTCTTCTTTCAGGCTCTTCTACAAGGCCAGATTCTGGATTTAGAGTAGTATAGATGCTTTTGTCATTAGATTCATCAAACTCAAAGCCTTGGTCTCTTGCAAAGTCAACTAAAGTGATCTCGTCAGGAGAAGCTCCTTGATAAAACTTAATATTTTTTCCATCAACAGTTGCTTCTTCAGCTTCGCAGTCATGACAAACAGAGAGAAGCTTTATAAGCTCTTGAACTTTTTCAGTCTCAGAACGAAGCTTCATCTTAGTCCTTCCGTTAAGCGAAGCGATCACAACTGGGCTATCAGAGTGGCCGGCTCCTTGTCTTAAGACTCTGTCAAGTTTTCTAGACTTGAAGTTAGTTTCGAGCTCCTTCTTCCTCTCAATGTTAGATAATTTTCTAGTGAAGCCTGCCTCACCAGCTTCTCCATAGGTTTCGTGGCCGCATTGGAGAGCTTTGAATTCCATTATATTCTGGGTGAGAGTTCCGGTCTTGTCTGAGAACACGTAAGTCACTTGGCCAAGTTCTTCGTTGATTGTGGTAGAACTAACTTTAGTACCTCCTCCAGCTTCAACATCGAACATATGGACATCTTGGGAGATGAAATAACACTGTATCACTTTGAGAACTTCAAGAGTGACTATCAAGGAAATTGGGATAAGCGTGCTCATTAGTAGGAAGAAACTGAAAAAATTTAGGAATGGGTTTTCATCTGAATTTCCATTTCCTAGGTAATAGTCCTGGTTATCATCTTTAACATCATCATAGATCGCCATGATCACACTGAGGGTTACACATATCAAGATTTGGATACAGAACAAGAAGATGATGACATTGTTTAGCTGCTTCTCAAGGTTACTAATCTTAATTCTGGATTTTGTACTGTTGAGCATGACTTTAGTCTCTCTTCCTGTGAAAGCCACTGTTCCAATGATCCAATTCGTGTTTTTGAGTTTAGCATCTTTAAGCATGAGCTGGTCTATTGAGAGAGCATATGTCTTGTTTTTCACCTCTAATTTTCCTGTGAAATCATGCAAATCTTTGTCTGGCAAAAGAGTGGTTCAGGTTCCTCCAAGAAGGTAAGTCTGTTCATCAACTGGTTTGGTGTAAGCATCAAGCCCCTTGGGTACGTAACGCTTTTTGAGATTCTTTTCACCATCAAGACTACTAGTTTGGATGAAAGCATTTGGACCATTGGAGGATTTGAGCATTACAATATCTGCAGGGAAGGTATCTTCGCTATGGATCATGACGATGTCTCCAACTTTGAGATCTTTTGAAGATTGCTCCTCGAATCTGTTATCTTCATTCAGAACATCTACCTTCTTTCCGTTTGATTGCCTATCGGATGTGTATCTGTAGAAGTCCTCAATTCCCTCTCTGATCATTGAAACGAGCAAGACGAACACGAGTGGAAGGATTGCAGTCAGAGGTGTAATAGTAGAAATCGCTGGGATTAAGGTCAAGATACAGATAATCAGGAAATAGATGTTCGCAATCCTGAGAAACTGTACTAACAAAGATACTGGTACAAAAGTAAAAATGTTGTATTTGGTAGTCTTAATGTAGTTAGATGGGAACCCTTCATTTTCTTCGTTAAGCTCAAACACACGGGTGTGCTCTGCATCCATCTCTACCTCCTTGTTTTGATCTGGAGAAGTAGTCTTTTCAGGGGGTGGCGAAGGCTTTTTGAATTCTTCATCACGCCTCTCCTTATTTTCTTTCTGATGTTCTAGAGTTCGAAGATTTCACAGCTAAATGATGACAAGATAGGTTGTACCAGGGAAGTTTTTGTCAGGAGCTCTTGGGTCTAACTGAGAGTCCTCTCCTACATCTTCATCTCTTTCAGAAGAACCGGACACTGATCTATCTGCTCTTCCTTGTTTTCCTAAAGACTCAGGTTCGAGCTGTGTGACAAAAGATATGGAGTGGTGAACAAGCTAGAACACCTTAAACATAATCTAATTTCTAAGATTATTAACCAATTTCTAACTTTCTCTGTCACTAAAATCTATGAGATTTAAGTGTAGCTATTTTAACAGCTAAACAGAATCATTGTTATTCCTAAAGCACCAAAACTACTATGAATCCAACATGTTTGGAATTTTAAAATCGAACGCTCTATTTGCTCTCTTGGTAACCCAGTCTCAGAGTCCTCATGCATAGAAAGCACAAATAAGTATTTTCCGGCTATTTTCTCTTAAAATTTTCTGCTAAAGCCTTCATACAACTTATGGGTTCATGCTAACGCAGGAGGAGGGAGATTTTAACCACAGGAATACTCACTTTTGGGAGGCTCTTTATGATTAGACTCTTGGGAGTCATCTACATTCTCACTGTCGCTTTCATCACTGTCGATGACACTTGATGATCTCTCCGAATCTTCTGACTCTTCAGATCTTTCTGACTGGGATTCTTCAGATTTTGACATTTTTAAATTATTTATTTAATTTTAGTGTTCAGGTTAAATTTCATACTAAGGGGTTTTGGGGTTTTGGGGTTTTGGGGTTTTGGGGTTTTGGGG